TATAAGTACTTTTTACTTCAAGTCCTCGAGCTTTACACTGCCAAAATAGTAGTATAAGACTTATATCATCAAAGTTAGCATTACTTATAAAAGCGGTAGCAATATGTTCCTTGATATTATAGATAAATAACCAAAAACTCATTGATCGTCCACTTCTTCTATCAAGGTGATCCGCCGTCCACGCCAACACCGTTATGCCTTCTAGAAGGGCCCGAGGGCGGTATCGGCGTCCCCTTCGTCAGAAACCCTATGAAGCTCTCAGTGTCACTTGAAGAAGATGAAGCTCCCTCTACGTAGAATGCTTGCATGTCCCTCGAAGCGTTGCAGCACGAAAGAAAGCAAAGAAGGAAGTGGAGTGCAATTAAGCCCTTTAGAAGTAGACTCATCATCATTTTGGCTAAAATAAAGAGTTGAGGGATGAGAGTTTGAGACTTGTTGATAGAGTTGAGGGGTGTTTGAATGTAGACAATGGGTAGGTGAGGCTTTTATACGTGTAGCATCGAAGTATCGGAAAGATTTTTGGGGTAATTAGAAAAAAAAAAAGTTATGTTATGAGAAATAGTAGGGTGATATGATAACATTAAGGCCACAAATCTGATAAGACGAGAAGAAAGTAATTGAAGTATATATTGTTGGATATTTAATTTGTTAGGGAAAAGGCAATTTTGACTTCATGAATAGTAATACATTTTGTAATCAAAACATATTTTAATTAGCAATTAAAAATGCGTGTAACGGCTATACATTATGGGGAACGTTACGGAAATTTATAGCGAACGTTACAGTATTAATTGCGGGTTTTGTAACGGCTCTTTCCAACCCCTATATAAACAGTTGTATGTTGAGCTCAAAACATAAATAAAAAAAAAAGCAACAATTCTCTCTTCTTCTCTTCTCTCCTTTGCTTTCAAAAGTGAATTTTTCCTCATTATCTTTGGTGTTATTTTGGGGCAACCGTTCTTCGTCTGAGCTGAAGCTCTGCACTCTCGCCTGAGTTCAGAGGCTGACCGTTTTCAGTGGTTTTTACCGTTAGGGGAAGAGGATCAACTATGCCAGGGCGATAGGCGGATCCTCAATCTTCTAGGGCAGTGATTACACGACTGCTCCCGTCAGGCTTGAATTTCTTATTTCTTACTTATTTAATTCGGATTTATTTTATGCTGTAATCTTGTTTTACAGATAATTTCCAACATATATGAGAAACTATCTAATGGACCTGACGGACAATTGTTTGTCAAAATGTTGTTTATCTTTGAATTTGTACCGAAGAGGTGCATGTATGATCAGTTTCTAGGCTTTTCTTTTGCATACCGCCAATCGATTGAGATGGTTTAAACATGAGAACGGATGTCTTTAAATACACTAATTAGGAAAAGTGATAAACTATATCTAAAGGAAAAACGAGGCCTCGATGTATGCCTAGAATTTAATTGGAAATAATTACGAACGATATGATAATGGTTAATTTAGCGGAGACGTGTTTGTTATCGTTATCGTTATCGTTAAGGGTCAATAACTTCAATAGATTTGTGTCTAATCCTAAGAAGGGTAGGTGAGCTAGAGAGTGGGGGCCACGAGAAACTAATGGCCGACTGAGGAATGGGAACTGTTTGTTTCAGCAACAAACAAGGGCGTCTCGTCACTGTTTCGTGGATTTCTGTAAATGTGATTGCTTGATGCGTCCCTCTCCATCTTTCTCTCTCTTTGGTTTCTTTCTCTCTCTAACTTATCCTTGTTGAACCTTTTTCTTTCTCTTTCTATATATATCCTTGTAATAAATGATCGGCTAAATATATAGCACTTATATTCCCAATATTGTTTCAACTGCTTATCATTTATATTCCCAAATAATTAACTCTGAAATTTTTTAAACTCGCACTTATATACCTTAATTTACCTTTTTAGTGGCACTTAAATACCCTAATATTTTTTTCCAACTAGCACTTAGATGCCCAAAAAAAATTTACAACTAGTATTTACATAACCTAAAGTTTTTAAATCCTGCACATAAGTGCCCTCAGTTATGAAACTCGATGGCAAGTTTTGAAAACTTTAGGGTATTTAAGTGTTAGATTTAAAAACTTAGGGTACGTATTATGCAAGTTTGAATAGCTTTAGGGTATATAAATGCTACCAAAAGCAAGTTAGGGTATATAAGTGCAAGTTTAAAAAAACTTTAGGATATTTTCTTACGATCGAATACAAACAATGGTATTACGATCGAATACAAACAATGGTATATAAGTGAAAAGTAGATAAAACGATTGGGTATATAATTGCTATTTAGCCTGAATGATCCAATGAGATATTCTGTCCATTGCTATGTAGAGAAAAGAAGGCCTAATTGCACTTAAATGCCCTATAGTTTATGCGACCTTGCACTTAAGTGACCTCTTTTTTCAAACTGAACAAAAAAATACCCTAAAAATATTTAGTTTTTGCAAATAATTACTTCAAAGTTTTAAAATGTTGCACGCTAGTGTCCTCTTGTTTACCCAATGTTGCATACAAATGCTTCGAAGTTTGTAAATGGCATCACTTAATTAAATACCCCAAAGTTCCCAAGAGCTTCACTTTAGTGCCCTCTGTTATGTGACATAGAGAAAAAATAACGTTGTATGGGTTATTTTTAACTATGAGTATTCATCTGCAACACTTGAATACTTTTGGTATTTTTTTGTTTGGTTTAAAACTATAGGGTACTTGAAAGAGCAATGTCGGGGAAATATAGGGCATTTAAGTGTAATTTAGCCGAGAAAAAATTGTGAGTGGGTTGTTGGAGAAGTAGGTGGATTTTTAAAGCTCACTTTTTTTTTTCTCTCTCCTAATCTGAGTAAAATAAAAACTTATACCGGAAGGCCATAAATTTTGACGCGAGTTCACTTCACAATTATTAGAATCACGTAAGTGTTGGTACATAGTTTTTGATCAAATTTTCTGATAAAGATGAATGAGAAGCTTACTATCTTTTGATATTTATTGGTTCTGACCTAATTTGATCTGATTCAAGGTGATATATGGTATTTGGCAAAGGACCCTGCCAGGTTATACATCCTAACACATCCCGCAGGTTGAGAGCTCTTTGCTAGATGGAAACCTGGACTCATATAACGGTACCAAACCTTTTTAATCTCTACTAAGAAATTTATGGCCAGCAAGATTCAAAATTCAGATACCATATCAAAAAAGGCCCCACCGCTACACGAAAACTCTGAAAGCGTACGTAGTGAGAGTTGACGGCTATAAATTTATATTATAACAACTAATACTTTAGACCGAAAAATGACGAAACTGCCTCTCTCGAATTCTCCGTAATCTTTCGCTCAAACGACAGCTAATGGATATAGTTTCAGCAGCAAACCGATAAATACATAAATTGCCTCCTCAACATCAAGTTAGTGTAGATGTTGGGCACATCTTTACTGTTTGGTAAAGCAAGAGAAGGATGTTGGGGACTTTTGGTCTAGTGCAATTACTGACAAAAAAGAAAGGAAAAAGATACGAAAGAATGTTGCATCTTTTCCTTTTGTTTGCCGCCCCGAACGGCTGCATGAGGGACGGCGAGGGGATCTCATCGAATACCTTTGTTCTGAACTCGGGCGGAAATGTCAATAATAGCAGCCGAGAGCACGAGGAAATGTTGCGTGACTTAGTTTTGCACTTCGGCATGATAAAGTTTAGGATTCGAGTTTTCGGGTTCAAGTGGAGCAGAAGTTCAGATGCAAAAAAGGCTTTTGGACTCCACGTATGAATTCGACACGGTTTCGATCTCCTTCGGAGCATGCATAGAGACCTGAAATAATCACCCAGACTGAAACATTCACCCGATCAAATCAGGTGAACAACAACAACAACAAAGTCTTTGGCCTTTATCCCAAATTCCCTAACGAGTGTCCATTACACATGTCCGAACCATCTCAATTGATCCTCTGTCATTTTAACGATTGCATAGAAGCAGTTCCTAACCTGATAAAGATACGCTAATTGCTTATCTTACCTCTTAATGTGTATCCACAAGTCCATCGTAAACATTCTCTACACGCTATTTTATTTTTTAATTGCCCAGTATCCCGATCCATAAATCATTATTAGTCTTATATTTGTCCTTCAAAAATTTTTTTCCCCCTTCAATTCATAGACATTCTGAGTCACATAAGGCCCAGAAGCCATTCTACTAAGTATTTAGCCAATTCCAGAATAATGGAGTTCAGATATATTCCACTTCTGTTCACATTCTGTTATAGAAATCAAGTCTTCAGGAAAACTAGTATAATCATTTCCGTTATCGCTAAGGGTGTTAACAGAGCGGATACGGCTCGGATATGGCACTTACCATATCCATATCCGCTTACCCATCTCGGATACGGATACAGATATACGTCGGTAAGAAAAATTCATATCCATATCCGCCAAAATCGGATACGGTTACGGATATAGATGCGGATATATAAATGGATATGCATGCGGATACAAAAAGGATATGAGAAAACTAGATAGTATTCAGAAAAATATAGTCATGTGATGCAAAAAGAGTTCGTTAATATGTTCATTATGATTGAAAAGCTAAGATTAGACATCTTGATCATCAAAATTAACCACAAATCCATAATCTAAGAATCGAAACTATCGTAAGAGTATTACCAATATGTATTCGGATTTTTTCGGATACGGATACGGATATTTCACTACAAAACCATATCCGCAACCATATCCTATCGGTAATAGATTTGAGTAACCATATTCGTATCCTAACGGATACGGTTATAGATATTTCCTCGGATACGGATACGGTTTGGCACCCCTAGTTATCGCGTGTACAAGGGAAGAACCGACGACAGTTTAGTAGCATTCGTTACTCGCGTAGCATAATCTAAAATCTTACAGCATAAGAGGAGAGCTGAGCTGCATCTACTGGCCTCCGATCAGGTATATTATGTAGTCAAATCTGTGCAGTTTAAACCTTTTTCCCTGATGGGAATTAGCAGAACTGGCTCAAAAAATTATCACGCTTATCTCCTCGCATCAGAGAAACTTGAAGCTCCCATAATAATCACATTCTAATATTGTCTCTTGTACGATTTTTTGTCCGTGATTAAGAATTGCAAGCTTTCTTTAGAGCATTATAAACATTCTCCAGGCTTACTTCTTGTATAAGCACAACCTTCTCCCTCGACTTGGAGCCAGAACTAATAGATACTTGTCTTTTCTTTACTCCTAGAACCTGCATAACAGATAAATGGTTAAATTTGTGAAAATGTACTAAATGATTAATAGAAAAGAGGCAAGGCAAATATTCACTAACATCAACACAACCAATCATGTTTTGGATTTTGGACTGTTGTTCAACAGTTTAAAAGTTGTGAACATAATGTATCATCACATATTCCTTGAGACCCATTTCTTACATAGTCACACTCGCAATAACGCATGTTCATATTCGGCTGATGGTGGCTTTGGGTTGACAACTAACTTGGGTTTAGGGATTAAGAAATTACATATTGTTAAATTTGGATCTATGGCTTTGGGTTGACAACTAACTTGGGTTTAGGGATTAAGAAATTACATATTGTTAAATTTGGATCTATCACACAAGTAACGAGAAATAAAAAGGATAGCAAACTAGAGGTTTCTCAAGTTGTAGCTTAAGAACATGCAGCATGATTGGTGCTAAGATAAATTGAGCTGTCTGCGCACTTCAGAAACTTGGAACAAATGGCGTGTCTTTAAAAATAGTCAAAACCATTTCAAGCAAGTCAGAAAGATGAGGTGAAGTCTTCATAAAAAATCAGACCATTTGATCCAGAAAAAAGTCTTGTTTGCAGAGTAAAACCCTAGTATCTCACCTCTTCTACAGGTAAATATCCCATGCTAATTTTCCAGCAGTTAAATTGCCTACTGATTCTCTGACTTTCTGGTTTTCTATCTTCCATTGTCCGGATGCAGATATTGACGTCAGATATTCCAATATGAATTGCATGTGAGTGGAAACCTAGAATCCATCCTTTGAAGGAGAAGGGCGAAGCTAAGCAAGAATACATGTTTCATGGTTTTCTTCTGTAATAATTCATACAGACGCTGAATTCAAATTAGTAATTACCTACATTCTCTCAAAATCCTAATCTCCTTGTTCAGCTTTAGCCTAACGATAGAAAGACACAATTTTAAAATGAACTCAAAATAGATGAGAATTCAGAATGTTTGAGGTGCTTAAGATTTTCACCACCAGATCCGATAAAACTTGCCATCATCTGGCCCATGAAAGTGGGATCAAATTGCAAAATGAACCACCCTAATCCTAAGTTCCCCATTATTACTAATGAATCCATTTCTAGATTCCTAATCTCCCAATCCATTACCTAACACGATGAAAATGTTACATAACAAGCAGAAAACGCACAGGGCACTTAACAGCCAAACAAAATCTCAAAAAACATGTTTTATGAGCATTTTGTTAAGGGTTATATAACCTAAATTTTTTAAGGTTATATTGATTACCAGATTTGAACACATAGATCACTCTCCACCATCCAAATCTAATAACCCCCAACCTTTTATCACTGTAGAAAACCCGATCCTAAATCTTAACACCCCAAAATATCTCTCAACTTCTCGCAGTGACGATGAGAACTTCGATTGTGGAAACCTTCGACTACAAAAACTTTCAACAACTAGATCTCAGTGACGAAACCCTAGCTTCTCCATCTACATCTCTCCCCCTCCTCGTCTCCATCTCCATCGAGATCCACTCCTCGTCCCCATCTCAGCGACGAAATCCTAACTCCTCCATCTCCATCTCTTCCTCTCCTTGTCTCCATCTCCATCGAGATCCACTCCCCGTCTCCATCGAAGCAATGCTCTAGCGTCTCCAGGAAAATCTCAGCGATGAAAGGGTTAGCAATTCTACACATGTCAACGACAAAATCTCTTCCTCAGCTCCTTCACCTCCTCGGCTCTCTCCATCTCTACCTCTCGCTAAAGGCTTTCTCCAGTGACTTGGCCAATATAGCGAGGTAATAAGATTTTACATATGATGTTCTGCTTGAAAATTTTGATTATTCTAATTATTAAAGTCATTGTGAATTGTTCGTATTTTATAAATATCTAAAATAATTAATAAATAGCATAACCTAAATTATGTGTTACGTCTTTTTGTGTTTTTTTCCATAACCCTTAACAAGTGGTAAGCGTTACAATATGTGTTACCGTTATTTTCAACATTGATTCTTCTTAACACCTCATGAACTTTCTCACATGACACAAAGCTTCCCTATTCACACAATATTTTCCTCTAATTTCCAGTACATTTCTTATACGAGACAGTATTTTCCCTAATGATGGGGAGTGGGGACTAAGCATAAGGCTTTACTGTAGAGGTCAGAAGTCGTTGACAGCTTCACTGAATGATGTTGTAATCCATGATGAACAATTGTCATTACTGTACATCATGGATTATGGCATCATTCCGCCAAGCACAAATTTTCACCTCCAAATCAAAGCCCTCCGCTCGGCCCCCATTATCTAGTATCAAAGTCGAAAGATACATAGTAATGAAGGGTAAAATACAGTTACCTTCACAAAGGTATGATTTCAATCCACTTAAATTCAGTACTCTAGCATGTTATGGATTTGATGGATATGAGGAGTCCTATGATTTTGAAGTCCAAATTTTCAATATAGAAGATGTATTTTTTTTATCCATGACATGTTTAAACTAGAAATATATTTATTTATATCCTGAGTGTAGAGTAAGGAGAGAGGCTAAAAAATGGTGTTATTGAAATTATTATCATTCAACTATTCATTCGTGGACAGCTAGTGTAATAACACAAATTAATAGGCAATAAAAAAATAAAAAATGGATAATTACTTGTAAATCATAAAGTTTGAGAGGTGCTATGCAAAAATACCCCAAACCCCTGTTCATCACCGCCTCATCTTCCGTTGGTGATTTGCACCGCCTCAAAGACATGATAAAATGAGGGGGGGAAAGAAGGGAAAATTGGAGAAGGAAGAAGAGGAAGAAAATAGTGGAAAGAAAAGGGTAAAAAAGAAAATCTCACCCTAAATTCAATTCAATCAGTATAAACTCATCTCCTCATTAGTTTTTCTTCATTTTTTTAGGAATTGATCTTTGATTTCTTAAGAAATTGAGGGGAAAAAAGGAGAGAAAATACATACCTAGCTCTGCGAGGATCTCGTCGTCGACCACCGACGAGCCTCGCAGTCGAGGGGCCACCCCCGCGGTGGTGCAGGGGGCACGGCCTACGCATGAGTAGCCGCTGACAAGAACACCGAGAAGGGGAAAAAATAAGAAAGAGGAGAGGAATTGGTAGATGAAGGAGATAGAGGAGAGAAACATAGTTAAATAACCAAATTTCTTTGAGACCCCTAAAAGTTTATGAGTTTGTATATAGATCCAGAAAATAAAGGAAAGGAAAAAAGTTTGTTCAGGCCCTTGTTGCTCTATTAATTACCCACAGGCCCAGAAAATCAAACCAGTTGAGGAATTAAGCTTAGATAATTATTTGGAAAACCCTAGTAACTGTCCCATATTGTTAATAGGTCCAAAACTATTAGAATGATGTTATAAAAATTGTGATGAATTGCTAAAACTAGTAAAACGCCTATGTGCATCCTATTTATATATTTTAATTATTATTTAATTATATTTGAATCGGACTGGCGCTAGATTATGAGGTGATTAACAAATTAGTTTTATATATTTATATTATAGGATCAGGTTGATATCAGGAGTAATATTTTGAGGGAAGCCGTACTCATTAGAGGTGAGTTCATTTCTCATTGGTTGTTTTATAACATAAAATTCTATGCGTATTATAATGGATTGATCTTGTGTTTGAAGAATAATTATTCTATTTTTTCATGTATAAAAATGATATATGATTTGATCGATTCTGTTGTGGCCTAACTCATAATATAATTTTGACTTCTTATGAGATATTGAAAATAAATTTGATTTCATATAAATGTGATAAGTGATTTTGATTCTCACGTGATCCCAAATAACGGTGAATATAGATTTATTTGAAGGTTATCAAAGAAATAAGTGGTTTAATTGTGTTTTAGTGGTTTAATTGTGTTTTAGCGGTTTAACGAGTTTAATAGATTTTTCGTGATGATATTTAGAATAAAAGTAAATAAACTGAATTTGTTGCACCATTTTAATTGATATGATGAGTTTACTCTTGTTCACTTAATCTGGAAGTGTTTGAAATTTTCACAAGTGAATAAATTTGTACGAATATTACTTTGTAACAAGCAATGTATTTTCGAGATCAAGTAATGTGTCAAACAATGAGTTTTTGAAATTTAGCAATTTGATAAGTAATGTTGCTGAAATCAAATAATGTGACAAGAGATGTGTTTCCAAAATCAAGCCATTTGACATGCGATTCTTGATGTTTTCAAAACCCTTAGAAAGTCCAGTATGGAGTGACATATTTGTGCCTGTCATATGGTTAGAATGCATATTTATGTAACCCGTTATGGGTACTTGTGATGTGGCCTTTTGGCATTTGTGATGTGGTTTTTTTTGGGCGTTTGTGATATGGCCAGCAGGCTATGGCAGAGTTAGGTGCATTCTGTTCCTGGAAACTATGTGTTATGTGATCTTTTTTTTGGAATATCATGCACCAAACTTATAATTCACTATTTCTAGGAATTATTATTTTCATTCTGTTAGATATCTATGAACTCTAGTAAAAAAAAAATTCACTGAGCTTTAGCTCACCCAGTCATTTTTCATTTTTTTCAAATCCGAGATAACGATGTAATAATTTGAATTTTTGGTTGCGGCCGTTGTAAAGAAGTGCTTGTATGAAAAACACAACTCCAATGGTGTTATTTTTAGCAGAGTGTTTTGCGTTGTAAAATAATTGTAATGGTAAGGTTGTGGAATGTAAATAACGATTATATATATACAGTTTGTTTCAAGCTACTATCATAAGCAAGTTTATGTACATTTTAAGATAGCTATGTTATATGAGGTGTCAGACTTGGACTTGTGCACGGAACTTGTCTTGTGCACACGTCACTACTGTCGCGAAGCCCATATTTATAAATTTTTGCTGTAGTTTGGGGCGTGACAGCTAAGAAACCTCTTTTGGAAAGAAAGTACTCTAGTTGATGGGAAGCAGCCAGAGGGCTTTAATCTAGAGGCAAGAAATTGTCCACGACTCGGCAGAATGATGTCATCATTCATGCTAAATAGTAATTGATGTTACTATCCACCGATGAACAGTACGGGTACTATTGTTTATCCGTGATCTGTAAAACCCATTTTGAGGGTATTGGGTTTCTCCCTCCTTTTGGTTCCTCTTGATTAGGGATTTTTTGAAGAGAGATTGCGAAGGATAATTGAAAGGAGAAAGAGGATTTAGATAATAACTAGGCTTCACACTTTCACACTTAAGGGCTTCACACCCCAACAGTGCAAATCACATGCCAAGAACAAGCAATTCACATGCTGAGAATTTTCATAACTCGCTTTTTTATTCATCAAGGTCTAATTCCTCATAGATAATTACAACTTTATTTATAAAGAAAACTAAATCTGAAATTAAACCAAATCCTAATAAAATCCTAACTAAAATAAAATAAAATAAAATCTCAAGAACCTAAAAATAAAGATTATACCATATAATATTAAAATAAAAGAGACACTAGTAAATCCTAAAAACTTTTGATCAATGGCCCACAATCATTTTGCATCCTCCTTGTTAGAGAAAACATGACCTTGAGTTTTATAGTAGGAAATTGTAATGATCAACTTGTTTGGTGGAAAATATTTCATTGTGGACTGCAAAATCTTCAAGATGAGTTGTAAGACATGATATTGAGTTGATGGTGGAGGGTTTGAGATAATGAAGTCAACAATTGAATTAGCCTGGACTAAGAGTTTGCATTGCATATTGTTCTTGCATTCCACTTCTAGGATGATTCGATTTCAGGCTCTAGTCTTAATTTGAGCTCATGTTTTGTATCAACATTTGACTTGATTTTCTGTTTGAGTTCAAGCTGTTACTCTCCGTTAGGTTCAAAGTTTAGACTTGGGCTCTAAATCAATGTTATTCGTTGGTTCCGCTTCTTGCCCGAGTTCAAGCTTAGGTCCTTGGATCAAGTTTTTAATCTTATTATGCTTTTTCTTCTGACTCAAGTTTAGCTTTAGACTATGGATTGAACTCAAGTTTTGATTGAAGGTCCACATATGGCTGGATGGGGCACTTGTGTTGATTTTGCTTCACGTTTTGAAGAGACGCAATATCTTCCAAATGGTGGACTGGTGATGCAGGATGATCATGGGCCGTTGATCAAAAGATTCTAGGATTTACTAGTCTTTTCTAATTTAATATTATATGATCTAATATTTATTTTTAGGTAAGATTTTCTTAAGATTTTATTATGTTTTCTTTTAGTTTGGATTTGATTTAATTTCCAGATTTAGTTTTCTCTATAAATAAAATTGTAACCCTCCGTGAGAAATTAGACCTTGATTAATAAAAAAGTGGGTTATAAAAATTCTAAGCATGTGAATTACTCGTTCTTAGCATAATAGCATGTAATTTGCCTCTTTGGGTATGAAGTCCCCGGGTACACGAGGCCCTTAGGTGTGAAACCTAGTAATTATCTAAACTGTTTCTCCTTTCAATTATCCTTCTCAATCAATCTCTTTAAAAGAATCTCTCATCAAGAGAAACCAAAATAAGAAAATATCTAAAACCCCCGAAACAAGTTTATTGTTCACAAATTAAAAAGAACACTGGTTACTGTTCACGAGTGGTCAGTAACATCAATTACCATTCATTATGAATTATGACATCATTCGGTCAAGCCATTAACGATTTCTGGTCTCCAAATTGAAGCTCTTTGCCTGCTTCCCATCATTTGGTATTAAGAGCAGGACGTTCTCCCATCATTTGATACCAATTGATGTGGACTGGAACAGGGACTCCGATATGAAAGTAGAAAGCCCTCAAATGTGTTATCTTCGACCCCAATCCGAATCCGATAAAAAAGTATGAGATTCTCGATATTGTAAACTCCAGCAGTGGCGGGTACCCGAATCTTATCGGGATCTAAAAGGAGTGGGTAGATTTTTTTATTTTTGATAACTTTCCAAAGCCGTGTTGTAAGGCCTTGGATGCAAAAGATTATAACTCATAGAGGATCGATCAGAGGAAACTGGGCGTCGGCGATACTTGACCGGATCACAAAAGCTCATCGGGGCTTGTCGAAGTTCGTGCATGGTTGTATCTAGTTGATGAAGAGATGTCAAGTATTGGAAGATTGCGGCGAAATGATTGGATTACGGTTTACTATGATGAACAGTGCATGATTACTGTTTAGTTCTTATCCAAAAGTGTCTTACTAGTATTAGCTAACCGGAAGTAGCTTGTGTAGTGCAAGAATGGTTTGCAGATAGAAGTTGAAGATGCTAAAATCTTAGTATTTTCTAGCGTTTATATTTGATTAAGTTCCTGGTTAATACAAATATTTCTAGTTCTATTGCAAATGACCCACAATTGTAGTATACAAATAAAAAGTTATTAGTAGTCGATATGATTTTTTGTTTATCCTTTCACTGTCTACCCAAGCCAAGATAAAGTTGGAGGGTGTGCATTACCCAACAGCCAATGTAAAATCTTGCTCGGGTTTTTATGAACATAAGTAGTTAATAGCATTCACTAGTTGTTGTTCCTGTTGTTGTTAAATTAGTAGCTTTCGTAGTGTAAATAATTGCATGCTTATAGCTCCACGAGATAAGTGTCATAAATATTTTTCCTGATATTTTACCTATTCCAGTAAGAGTTAAAGATTTTTCCTTTTGCCCTTTTTAAATTAGCTTGATATCATGTGACTACCAATTGATGATCTTATAGACTCATTGCCCAACTACGATTCAATTCAAAAGGTATAATTGCTCAATCCAACTTCCTTTCCTTACTCCATACAAAAAGATCGTAACTCTAAGAAAACCCTAATTTTCAGTTTACGCAAGGCTCACCGAGCTAATGAAATCGACCAGTGCCGCATTAGCTTCGCCGTCTCTCGCCGGAGCATCGATCTGAACCCCGACCGCCTCATCGCTAATATCTACAAAAAATAAATCACTGTAATTGAGAGGAAAAAAAAAGCATCGATCAAGGAGAAAGGGGGGAGAGATTTGGCTTTGAAGAGACCAGTGATGGTGGCGATCTTGGAACCAGGTTTCGCGTGGATCGATATGGATACGGTGGCCGGAGATTGGAGGCGGAGGCTCGCCGGAAAGTTGGACGCGGCGGCCGTCGGGGGCGGCGGAGCGGTGGCGGTCTTCGATTTCCCTCGTTTCGAGGGTGCCATTTGTTTTCGCGAGTTGTTGGCTTTCCCTTTTTGTATGCGTAGGATTTTTAGTTCTTTGGTCCCTGAAATCTTCAACGATTTGCACGAACCCCTCAACTCGTTGAAATTGTCGAGAGGTACCTCAAGTAACAAAGGCCATTGCAAGTTGGTTCCTCCATTAGTTTCTTGATTAAATATGCAAACCATGGTTTGGTTAGCCCTTAACCAACACGATCAATTACTAAAACATCCCCCAGAATTACATGCCTATAATACACTAATTTAATTGAATTGAATAGTTGTGGTCGTTTTACTTCTCCCTGGATTTCATCTCTATCCAAATTTATTCAGCTCTATGAATGGAGTCTATCCTTCTAAATAATTCAATTTCTAACACAAAGATGTTGGATCTATCATGTATTATCACATTAGTTATCACAAAAGATAAACTTAGTTATTACATTATTCATCCTCAACTTCACACTTGGTTATTTGCTGAAATGTTTACTTCTAGCAGTTAACAGAATTGATGCCTACATTCTCGAGCACATAAATACTGCTAGCTAATTCACATCACAAAGAAATTGATGGTTCTATGTGTTTGGTTTGGGTTCATTCTCGGAGAGCTACTGTATTAGATCTTTCACTTTAGTTTTTATCATTTATGTTGCTCATTTCAATTAGAAACTTACTTTCTACATTTAATAACCTCCTACTACGATGATTATGATAATCTCATTAACATTCATAATATATTTATTGCACATTCAATGCGGAAATATGAGCAATAATCAATCTAGAATTACTTTGCTATGCTGTATGTAAAAAATACCAAGAGAAAGTATCTATTGAAGACAATAAAATTAGTTGCAACAATTACAAGAATGAAGACATGTAATGTCAAATCAAGTAAGTGTGAAAGTTATATAAGTAAAAAACATAAAACAAATATAACATGAATATTTTTTCAAACAATGTATACCCTATGCGATTGGAAGTAAATGATCATATGAAACAAGGTATACGCTACTCTTTATAATGCCACCTAATTTCTAATTGGTTGTACACCTGAAGAATATATGGATTCATTTGATGAAGAAAGAAAGGTACTATGACAAAACTACTTCAATACAGGAGAATTTATCACCTATGCCAAAAAATGATGAACCGTTGTAATAAAGAATGTCTTTTCTTGATAAAAATGAACAGAAAAGATGAGGAGCAAAGAATTGAAGGAAGAATTATTGCTCAAGAAATCTACAAATTAGAAGCTTTCAAAGAGCAAAGAATTGAAGGAAGAATTATTGCTCAAGAAATCTACAAATTAGAAGCTTTCAAACAAATAGAATGTGATGAAGATGTGGAGAAGAATTATTGCTCAAGAAATCTACAAATTAGAAGCTTTCAAACAAATAGAATGTGATGAAGATGTGGACTCTCAGGACATAGCATGGAGGCAAAAGAGTATAAACACATCTGAAAAAAGATTTGAACGATAGAACAGACAAGAATAATAAAAAGACCAGGATAGAAAGTGAGTGGTAAATCTTTAAAGTATTATGTCTAAGACAAATTATGTTTCCTTTGCTAGCATATTATAAAATTTCAAGGATTTATTTGGTGAATAGCAAGTTTTAGTCTCATATTAAAAAAGGTTAATTGCAAATAGACCCCTATAGTATCACCCAATTATGAATAGACTCCTTGTAGTTTTAGTAATAGATCCTCAGTAGTATTAGCCTAGATGCAAATACGCCCTCTCACTAAACTTTTTCCCCTCTTTTAAAATTCAAAATAAAAAGCAACTAAGGAATATACTTGCCGATAGAAGTATATAGGGTCTACCTGCCTCCTCAAACATTTTTAACTATTTTAAGAGCCAACAACTATTCACTCAGGGGTTCTACTTGAAAAAATAGAACTATTGGGAGTCTCTTTGCAATTGGGTGATACTATATGGGGTCTATTGGCAATTAACCCTATTAATAATTTGTGCATTTCAGAACTTATTTAGTAAATTGCTTCTTGAGACTAGAGCCACTATCTTAGCCGAGAGAGAGAGAGAGAGAGAGAGAGAGAGAGAGAGCAAAACTTATGTCAACTTAAGTGGACATCCACTAAGTTTCTTAGTCATTAATGATCATTTGATTGAGCTATATTTGTGGATGATCCGCTCCGTTAAATTTGATTTACATATTCTAAAACCCCAACACACCAAATTTGGGGTGAACCCGTCGTGGGTGATCCGCTCCGTCGAGCCATGTAAAAAGTTCTATTTATTCGAAATCGTTAAAATTGATACTAGTGGATGAATGGTCAAACCACGACGGGCTCACCCCAAATTTGGTATGTTGGGGTTTTAGAATATGTAGATCAAGTTTAACGGAGCGGATCATCCACAAGTGGACCATCCACCAAAGTTTTTATCCATTGATAAAAAATCTCTTCATATGATGCACGGATCTTCTAGGTATCATCAATGGATAGAAACTTTGGTGGATGGTCCATTTAAGTTGATATAAATCTCTCTCTCTCTATATATATTCCTTGAGTATGCAAAGATTTTATTTTTAGACTAAAAGGGCAAATTCTTAAGAACACCACTTTTTCAAAATTTAATAGCAAAATCAACCGTTTGATCAAAAAATAGCATCTGAAAAGGGTCGATTCGAATTTTTTCCCATTGAACGAGACTAGTAGCCCCGTCCATTTCATGTAAATAAAACCTCCACCTCATCACCCGACTTCTCCTCTCGTCGCCGATCTATCAACCGAAACGTCGAAAAATTTGTTGGCCGAGTCTCGATCTCTGGAGCTCGAATCTCTCCACTCCGTCATCTCCGACCGCCTGAACCACGACTTCAAGATCCACCGCAGCAAGCGGAGACGGACTACGGGTTATCGGAGTTCAAAGCAGAGGATCCGAAAAGACCTCCGTCTCGGATTCTGGTTCGAATCCGAAGACTTCGTGTCGGGTTCTTAGGAGATTGGAGCTGCAATCGAATCCGGGATTGGGTTTCGTGAGGCCCGGCGACGGGACGAAGAGGCTGAGGACGCATCTGCCGCATGCGAAGAGGTGGGGGTTTTTATTTGCCCCTCGGTGTCTGTCCCGATCAAACCAAAGAAGAGAACGCCCAAAATCGAGGGCTCGTCATCGCCCTGCTCTCGTTCTCGATTGCTCCCATCAAAAGAAGCCATATTTGCTTATTTTCTTTCGATTTTTTTTTCTAGTTTTTTTTGTTAGAAATTGAGATCGAAATCAAGGAGGGGGAGCACATATGGATATTATTTGAGGGAATGATGCGCTTTGAGTTGGGGTTTCGGTCGATAGATCGACGGCGAGAGGAGAAGTCAAGTGAAGAGGTGGGGGTTTTATCTACACGAAATGGACGGGACTACTAGTCCCTTCTAATTTCCAAATAAAAGCAATATCGGTCCTTTTCAGATGAAAAGAGTCTATTTTGTTATTATTATTTTGTTAAACGGTCGATTTTACTATTTAATTTTGGAAAAAGATGTTTTTAAAAATTTGTTCATTAAAAATTGGTATTATTACTATTATTATTATTATTATTATTATTTTACTCCAACACCACGTGCCGAATCAAAACAGCAAACATCATCTACTACAACTATACTTCTCCCCCCCCCCGTCAAACTCCAGAATAACCTCCCTCCTTCAACGAAAAAACCACGCTGCCGCAAACAAATAGAGAAAACCCAAAAAAAAAAACAAAAAAAAAACAAGAAAGTAAATAAAAAAAAACAAGAACCTCACCGATGATTTCGGCGCGCCGCGCCAATGCTCCGACACGTACTTGCTTCCGACTGCGGCGGGCGACGGACGTTCGTCTTCGACCACGGCCGCCGGCGACACTATCTGCCAGCCGAGTGCGGCCTCGTCCTCCGATGCGCGTCGTCGAACGAGACCGCCGAGTGGAGCGACTTCGACGAGTCCAGCGGCAACGACCCGGTCCGCGTCGGCGAGAATGTCCAACCCCCTTTTTTTCTTTGCTGGCGGGCGCGGCCTCTCGACGGTGAATCCAACCCCAGCGGGGCCCGCGGCGGAGCTGCGTGATCCCGGCCTGGTGCAACACGCTCGAAACCCGGACGCTGCGCTGATCTTGGCGTTTCGCGGCCATCGCTACAATGGCCGATAGGTTCGGGCCGTTATTATTATTATTTATTTATCAGCATATCAGGGATTGGCTTGTTAATTGGTGAAGAAACCTTTTTTTTTATTTATTTTTTTTCCACCGCCACGAGAACCCTCTTGTAAAAAGATCGCGCTCAGGTAAACTAGAAAGCTAATTTTTGTCATTAACAAATTTTGCATGATATGTCTCGAGAACCAACTTTCATAAATGGTGGAGTTTTAATTTGTTGAGCTTTTTAGATTAAGGGTTTTTTTCTTGAAACGTAGAGATTAAGGGTTTTTTTTCTTGAAACGTAGAGATTAAGGGTTTTTTTTCTTGAAACATAAATTGCATTGGATTTCAATGTTTGACGGGTTAATTATGGATTTGTAGTCACCGTATAAACCTCTCAATGGGACGTCCATGTGTGTGTTTCAACTGCCCGAATGACCGGCCAATTTGGGTCGTGCGTTTTTATTTACTTTCGAGCAATAGCTTGCTCAATATGTCACGAGTTGATATTTTCAGTAACGAAAAGGTCGAAACGCAATGTAATCAAACAATAGAACTTGTCTGACGTGTTTGGATTTTTTTTATTTCCGTAAGTGATCAAGATATTACATGCACGAAGGAATCTGCTATTTCGAACCGTTGACACTTTATTTATGCTATGCCAAAGAAATCCGTTATGTCAATTGACGCGAGTGTTAGAAGTGATTGGTGATTCAGGTACTGTTTTATTACATGATCAGTCATTCAAAACGTAGGTACCCAATTCAGAGATGATAAACACATGTCGCCAACAATCTGATTAACGCGAATTTGATATATCTAACTTGCTTTCCTTTTATATGGTGATGTGAAGTTTTAATTAAACCGGGCACTGTTTCTAATTTCTTCTCTTCTTTCTTTTAACAGGTTAAATCTGGTTGCCACAATCAAGGTACACATCCTAATTTGCAATTTTGACTGTTTTCCGAACGAAATAATATTGTTGACTATATAGTCCTATAAAGTTGTTTATGCTATTTATTCTTTGAATAACTCTTAAGTAGTGAATTTTGTAGTATATATATTGCTAACGGTATGGTTGTGCTATCAACTAATTTTTGCGCCATCATTTTTTTTGCTCCTTTTTTTCTTTTCTGATGCTGTGTTGGCAGTTATTACCTTCTATGGTTATTTGCTAAAGTATTTATGTTCAAGTCACAATCCTGAACCATGAATCTTTTGCAGTTAGGTATCTTATCTCATCTATATATACTTGATAAAGCCAGACATCTATACTGAAGTTTTTAAGCTTTTTGTAATATTACATTCAAATCCTTCCTGTGGCATTCCAGTGTTTCTTTTTTTAGCTGATATTGCTTCTTCTTTATTAAATAAGTTCTTGTTTTTATATAGTCCGGTGGGTGTATACATGAAAATCCTGAGTTTGAAAATAATTTTTCCTTTTTGGAAAGGACCGAGCCAATGAAATATACAAGAAGGTGGAAAGCCTTAGATCTATTAAAGGAAGAAACCAAGATGCAATTATGGCTGCTTGTCTATACATTGCTTGTCGACAAGAGGAGAAGCCTCGCACTATAAAGGGTACACATTTTCTCTGCTTTATGCTTCTATTTGACTTCGTTTGAAACCATGTACTTAGTCCATCTTTACTATAATTTGAAACAGAGATATGCTCCGTTGCAAATGGTGCTACGAAGAAGGACATTGGTCGAGCAAAAGATTTCATTCAGAAGCAGTTAGGGCTTGAAAACGATCCATCAATACAGGATATGTGTACTATTAGCGCAGGAGATTTTATGGTCAGTTGTCATTCTTTTCCCAGATTATTTTTTTTGGCAATGTATATCTTATGCACTTAGAATTTGTAAGATGTTCTGTGTTTTGGCTTCTTTCTTATTTGCAAATTTTACAGAGACGTTTCTGTTCATCTCTTGGTATGAATAATCAAGCCGTTAAAGCTGCTGAAGAAGTCGTCGAGAAAATAGGAGAGCTTGATATAAGGTACTATTTTTACCTGCTTGATGTAGCCATAATGCTCCTATGAAAATATATGTGAGGGGCCAGAATAGATTCACAGTCATGCATAGCTAAATTTACTAGCAGGATGAATACGTGTTAAGGTTTGTAGGAATGCTGCATCAAGATTGTCAACGTTCATTGAGAAATCTACTGTATTAGCACTTGGCTTAAGGGAACTTATAATTTTTCGATACCATTATGGTTGTAATTGTGGATGTGGGGTCCACCCACGTTGATGGCTTTTCCCAGCCAAATCGTGTTTTCGCGTGAAGACTTTGGTTTTGTCCAGCGGACAAAGTGAAAGCCCACCCGATAGCCTATACAAGCCTATATATACTATTTGGTTTCTAGGGCATTGTGTAGCAAGGTGAATTCTTTTTTCGGCGGCTTTGTTTCTTGGAGAAAACGCAGCAAAGAAAAAGGAGAAGAGGTGAAAAACAGAGGTTCTTTTTTGGCAGCGTGTAAGGCTTTGACAGGGTCTTGGACTGTGTGCAACAAGAGAAATAGAGTGTTTTTTTTACTGCTGTTGTGAGAGATTAGAGAGTTAGTTTGAGGGTTTAGTTTGTGAGATTGTAAACCTTTTGTATTCTCTCTCTAATAGTAGATCTCCTCCTCCTTGCCCCGTGGACGTAGGCAGTTTGCCGAACCACGTAAAAATTGGTTTATTTAAGTTTGTGGCCATTGTAATAGTTATTAGGATCCCTCGACGCGCAGTCCTAGAGCTGACGAGAGGAAGAGCTAATATGCCACTTTGATGGGATATTAGGCTTCAGATTCTTGTTCCCTTTGAGAAACAAGAATTCTTATCGATCTTTCTCTCTTATTGTGCACCAGAAACTCTGCCGAAATTTCCGCTGCGCACAACAGTAATTTGGTTGTGGTCACTTAGATGTAGCGTTGTTAAATATTGGAGGTATTTATCAGCACTTAATTGCTTTAAGGTCATCAGTCTAAAGCTTTGGCCTATAAAATATATAGATTGCATCATGTAAACATATTTCAGTTTGAGTGTTAGATTCCTTCCCTTGATAATGCAAATGCTGAATATTTTGACAGCCCATCCTTCTAATTGCTTCTTGGCACATGAATTTAAGGTAAAAATGAATATTGGGACAAATATCTGTTTTTGTTTCTCCAAAATTGTGTGAGGCCTGTTCTTAGTTTGCCCAAAAAAATTTTATAAGCAAAGACAGTTCTGATTGTAATGATACTTGTATTAAAAAAATACCTAAAGGAAAAGCATTTATTGTTAAAATGCCAATTATGCAGGACTAATGACGTCTACTTTTTCGCAGGAGGAGCCCCATATCTATTGCAGCAGCAATTATTTACATGATAACACAATTATCAGAAGAGAAGAGACTTCTAAGAGGTATATGTTTTGTTATCAATGTATCTGTTTGTTTGCATTAAATACTTTCGAGTTTTGCAGATATATATTTGGCAACAGGAGTAGCAGAAAGTACGATACGAAACTCATACAAGGATCTGTATCCTTATGCTTCGACGGTCATTCCAGAATGGTTTGCGAAGGATAAGGATCTTAAAACCCTCTACAGCTCATAATTTTGTCATCAGTTGTATACAGATAGATGAAGCCCTAGTGTTGGTGTCAACAGATTTACTGATATGGCCGCTCTACAATTTCTTGTAAATTTGATGGACCCCTTAAACATTTTTTTTTCTCGAGATACAGCAGCAGAGAGAGAAATGTAACTAGTAGGATTTTTTTTTTTGATTATTTTAGATTGTTTCATCCATTTCATGAGTCAGTAAATATTTGTTCTCTTAAATGCGCAGAAGGAACCGTTTTGTTGTTCATTGTTGGATTTCTATTCTCCACTTGAATGCGAGTGCAGAACGAAAATTTGATCTTGCAACGGATGAAAAAAAGGGTTAGGAGTTGGTAGGAATTTGCACGATGTCTCCTTATCGACTTTGTAAATCTCAATGTATGTGGCTAAACTTTCTGAACTTTGATATTGGCAACGGTTGAAATTTTCCTAAAAGGGAACGGAGGAGGAAATCGATGACGAACCAGAGTTCATGAAGAATTTACTATCTAAGCCTGAAAATGGGATTGATTTCGACAGTGCAGCTATCTTGAATGAGAAATGTATATTGGTTGCTCTCAATTTCAATATACTCCCTCTGCATGTATGCATTCTGGTGAGGCGCGGGTACTTGAAATGCAAGATATACGGGTACTTGAAATGTGCATGACATGGGATTTTTCCAGTATGTATGAATGTACTAAGATCTAAGTCAATGTAAAATTGGTTTCAACATCTATTTACTTTTGTTTTGTTTAACAGGTTAACGTTTTCCTCAATTCGCTGCGCTAATCTTGCTTAGCTCCTTATTCGTTCTTACTTAGTTGGCATAATCACATTTGTTAGACCCTAACTATAGCGACGAAGATGTTTCGATGGCTTTAATTTAGTGATGGCTGTAATTTATTGTTGCGAAAGAATGTGGACGTGAGCCAATATTTCCAAATATGGATATCAAATATCCATATCCTACCGACTTTCAGAATTATCTATGTCGAACGATACTTTTCACTGGCAAAAAAAGCCCCTGCGTATTCGTTTCTGATAACCATAAACTATAGAGGACGTACGAGGCATACCTTTTTCGCCAATTTAAATCTTGAAATTTTCGAGTCCACGTTCATCCTCTTTGTAGATTTTGCAATAAATAAATACATTTAATCATGAATTTTAACGTTGTATTAACTTTCTATAAAGGTTTCACAATCTATTGTGTGCATGCACTTTCATATGCCCTTCCTCCTTGGGCTTTAGACTGATCTATAAATTCCCAAGTACTCATTTTCTCATAGCAAAGAAATGTGATCTCTTTGGTGGGTAGAATGGGATCGAATCTTGATCCTTAAGCTAATAAAAAGGAATTTTAGAGAGCTTGAGGATCAGATTCCCTCCCATTTTACCCTCCCAAAAGAATTTAACAAGAGAGTTTTGATTTGATGAGCGTTGAATTGGCAAGGTAAGTCACCGATTTTTACCGCCTCCACTAATTTTTCCCCCTTCATCAAATAGACTTGTCAACCTTCTATTTGTTAGTTTCAGTAAAAAAAAAAAAATTCCCATTAGGGGTTGTTTGGTTCACCAAGATTGTTTGAAAAGCACGTGAAAACCTCCTACTACATGTACCCTGAAAAGTGAAAACCCTTTTGCAAAAAAGGATTGCTAATCGTTAATTAACCTAATTTGTCTCACAAGTTTTTTTAGGAAATTGGTTTCTATAAACAGAAGAAAATGCATTAAACTTGTAGAAACTAAATTCCTAGCTTTTTGCTTGAAATTGCTAGAAACCTAAAATTTTGGCAATAAAAGATAGATCAAGTAGGTGACAACACATGTTTTTCGACGACCAATATCTTTCTCTCTTCTTTTCCTAGAACCATTGATTCTCAATTTTTAGTTTGGATCCAAACTACTATTTTCATTGAAACCAAGTTCCTCCTTTGCTTTAAGGGCAACACAAATATATTTAAAAATTGGAAAAAATGTGTCAAGGCCCCAAAAACAAAACCTCTTGTGGTCCAGCCCTTTGAAGTTTTTTCCATGTGTTTTAACCCCAAAAGACCCAACAAATTGTGTTCCAGCCCCTTTTCACACTCTCCCAAAAAGTGTCCCAAAAAAGTTCTGAAAATACCCCATGTTCTTCTTCTTCTTCTTCTTCTCTGTGTCTTTCTCCTCCTCCTCTCCTCTAACTGCTCCTTTCACCTCTTCTTCTCTCCTCCTACTCTCCCCTAACCCTACTTTCCTCATCTCTCTCCCTCTTACTTTTCTTGCCCTTGACCCCGTCATCTCCCTCACCCGCCTCCCCCTACGCCACCACCGAGCCTCCAACCACATCATCTTAAGTAAGTGTTGAGAAGGCTTAGAGAAGAAGGAGATGCGGTCGGTGAGATGGATGGAGAGGAACATGGAGAAGAAGTATGAAAGATGGAATGAGAGGTCCAGCTTTGCGATTGATATGTTTGTAAGGAGTTTGATTGTGTTTGGATGGCACAAGATTAATAGCAAGAAGGTGAGTTTGCTGATACATGTAGTTGCTTCACGTTTGATATGTGGAGATGGACTTTGGATCTTACCATCTTCTTTGCTCACTCTAGCTAAAGTTAATCCCCCGATTTGTATACATGTAGTTGCTTCAGGTTTGATATGTGGAGATGGATTTTGGATCTTACCATCTTCTTTGCTCGCTTTGGCTAAAGCTAATCCCCCCATTTGTATGAAATTTGTAAAATCTTCAGTACAATAGGAAGTACGCAGAAGCAAGGCCTTAGTTTAGAATTTTTGATGATGGCAGAGAAATATATAAATTATGTAAAGTAAAACATTGTGAGAGAATGTGAGCTGCTCATGTTGTATTCAAGAATATTTTATGTATATAATCTTAAGTAGATTGTTCAAATATTTCTTGATGGATTTTTGTCATAGAAATAGACACGCTCTAGTAATCTTCCATCAGCTGAAACTGTAAAGTACATGTTTATCGTATGTTGGCTATTGCTTTTTCCTGTTAACTATCTCTGTTTGTTGTTAACTTTAACCTGAAACTGTTAACTTTTGGGTTTCCTGTTAACTTTCACCGGATGTTGTTAACTAGCTCCGTTTTCTGTTAACTTTTAGCCGAAACTGTCAACTTTTGAGTTTTTCTATTAACTTTTACTGAAAGTTGTTAACTCTGGGTGTTACTTGTTAAGTATAAATGGTACTAACAATAAATGTATCAAGCTGATAGCAAAAAGAATATAATTGGTGGTTAGTGTGGATTGCTATGTTGAACTATATTTTTCTTAATGCTATATTAGTTTTCAATACTTTTTTAACATATTGTGGAAAAATTTTGTGGGCTTTAAGAATTTAAAGCTAATCAAAGTGTGAAATACTTGCTATATCAGCTGTAAGAATGTAAGACTTTATATTGATTAGTCTTACATTCTTACAACTAATATAGTAAATATTCCACAATTTGATTAGTCTTACATTCTTAAAGCCTCAAAATTCTTCCATAATGTCCTACAAAAGTCTTAAAAATCTATATTGTTCTATCAAAAGTATAGTTTTACAAAGCAATCCATACTAATCACCAATGAAATTCCTTTTTACTATCAGTTTGGTATGTTGGTTGTTGATTAGACTGATATTATTGTTGATTAGACTGATAGCATGCTCTATATTTTAAATTCTATTGATATTTTAAATTCTATTGTGTGTCAATGTGCTCTATAGCATGCTATCAAGCACATTGACACACAATAGAATTTAAAATATCAACCATAGGTCATCATGGGCTTATCCCATTGAGATAGAGCATAGCAATCCACATCTCTCTTTGTAAGCATTTTGCCGAACTCTGAGTCTTCTCAGCACTTGCCTGAGATGACGTTCTCGGTGGTGGCAAAGGGGGAGGCGGGAGGCAGGAGAGGGAGACGACGGGGTCGAGGGCAAGAGGAGTAAGAGGGAGAGAGAGGAGGAAAGTAGGGTTAGGGGAGAGGAGGAGAGAAGAAGAGGTGGAAGGAGCAGTTAGAGGAGAGGAGGAGGAGAAAGACACAAGAGAAGAAGAAGAAGAACAGGAGGTATTTTCGAAATTTTTTTGGGTCACTTTTTAGGAGAGTGTGAAAAGGATAATATTATATGATATGACACCAATTGAAAAGGATAATATTATAAAGTTGTCAATGTAGATTCCGAAAACAGTGATGACAAATCATATGGTAACACCATTGAAAAGGAATCCTATATACGCCACTGCCTCCAGGAAGTACTGTACAATTTTCCCTAAATTTGTCTCTGCTTAATTGCATTTACCAGCTTTGATGAAGTCCTTGTTATAATTGGATTTGGATCCTCTCCACTACTACAAAAAAGTAGTGGAGATACCACTACTTTAATCTCAATCGTTGATTATTCAGTAGGCGGTTATGATACAATCTAAATCTAACACTTACCACACCCCCGTGTATTGCACTCATTCCTAATTTGCACTAAAAGAAAAAAATTACAATCATCAACTAGATAATCAATGACTGTGATTATGTAGTGATCCCTCCACTATTTTTTTGTAGTGGAGAGGATCCGAATCCGTTATAATTGTACCAAAAAGGTATCCAGTATTGCTAGAGCTGGAGAAAAAGTTGTATGAGGATACTTAAATGTAGGAAATCATAACCCAACATTTCCAATACATACACATTCATATAACAGAATCAAAAGTGCAACAAAGAATAGTCCGCAAACAAACAATGCCTCTTCTGACCCCTTTTCGATCTTATACTACATAAACAAACATATTCATGTAAGCAGAAGAGCAACTTTATTCAAGCCTATATAGTCTACCATAACTGGATGCCGATTATTGCTAAATATATATTGAGGCAGAGATTTCACCTTCTCCTGCAACACGAGGAAAGCACAAGGGGTTATCCTCCATTAGAAAAAAAAAAAAACAACAATATTAGAGAATTGCTATGTAAAACTCATATATGGCTTCAAATATGCCAAATGCTTTTGAACAAGAACGTGATCTCAGATAAGAAAATTTCTGTCTGAAGCTCAAATGACTTCAAATATGCCAATATTATGAACAAAAGCATAACCTTAGTCTTTTTTTAAACAACAACAACAACAAAGCTCAGTCATTTGATAAGAAGGATTATTCATACCTCACTTTTGAAGCTCTTCTTAGTGATAATAAGGAGGTGAAGCATATATATATGTGAAGTTATACGGGTGGCTTTTTGTCATGAGGAGGCGTGGGTGATTTATACTCGTATTTAGGAGGGGGCGATTTATACTCGTATTTTGGAGGTGGTGACTTGTACTCGTACTTGGGAGGTGGTGACTTGTACTCGTACTTGGGAGGCGGCGGCTCATACTTTTGGAGGTGATTGTAGTTCACATTTGGAGGTGCCTCATACTTAGGAGGTGACTCGTCTTTAGGAGGCGGGGATTTGTATTCATACTTTGGAGGTGGAGATTCATACTTGGGAGGTGGAGGTGATTTGTACTCGTATTTCGGAGGTGGTGGTGATTTGTACTCGTATGTCGGAGGAGGTGGTGATTTGTACTCGTACTTTGGAGGGGGCGATTTGTACTCGTACTCAGGAGGCCACTTGTAGTAAGGATGTGGGTATTCATATGTAGGAGGTAACTTGTAATAATAATGAGGTGGCCATTTGTATCCATATTCAGGAGGTGGCTTGTAATAATTAGGAGATGGAAGCCAATTGTAATAGTAAGGTGGAAACTTGGGTGGAGGAAATTTGTACTCATACTTAGGAGGTGGAGGCTTGTAGTAATCTGGTGGAGGAGAAGAGTAGACATTGTAGTCTGCTCTGATCTCAGAAGGGAGCAGGCTGAAACAAAGAACTACAACCAGAAGAACATACACAAAGGAAGCCATGGACGGTTTCTTTGTTTCTCCCCTGCCCATTGTCCTGTGGATTCAAACACCAAACCCATGCCCTCATTATATACAGCCTCATGAGTTGACTGTGTGTGTTGATGTCACATAACTATTAGTAGTTAGTTGGTATAGATAATCACACCACAAAATTCCTTTTGTCCTCTCTAGATTTTTACAGGTTTCTTCTAGTTTTGCACATGATGTGCGCATGTAACGTAGTTGAATTAGGGTAGTGGGTATTATGTATCGATCGCTCATCTTGTAATAGGAACCATGCTTGTTTGGAATCATATTATCCGTCTGAAGGATAACTTTCCCAAAATTAGCTAATTTCTCATAGTCTAAAACTCTTAGTGAATATGGAAAAAAAATTTCAGCTGCACATGTTAGGTAAGTAATTGCAATGTTTAGTGTATTGAGATCCTAGTTTCACATCATCGCCTCGAGGTTTGGAAAAATGCAAATGCATGGATGTCGAAAATTAGTGTTTCACATTTAAACATCCTAACTAGGGTCAACTAGTTTAAAATTACTTAAATGAGAAGCAGATGACAAGCTAATAACTGATATTCAAAAGAGAGAAAATGCTTCCAAGAAAAGATATAAAAGAGATTTAAAGTTAATTAAATGGTTTGACTTGCTGATAATAATACAAGTTAAAAGCTACACTCTTTAACTTTGCTCATATATGTAACATTTAGTGATCGGTAAGACAAGAAGCCACTAAACGAACTTTGGAATGGTAAGGATTTACCAACTAAAATTAGATGGTAATATTCTTAAGCAGAGTTACTAATATTCATTTATGGAAAAGTATAGCATCAAATAAAGTAAACATTTACAAGCGAAGAATTAGCTTAATGATATTAAGCTTATGCCATTAATAAATAATAAGTTATATAGTTGGAAAGCTACCTCTATGAGTGATTACAGAGAGATTTTACGACTATAAGTAATAGTTTCTGGATGCAATTTAACAGTTAGATAAATTTTGATATTACTAACTGCAGCATCATTCCATATTTGTAATGCAATACAAAGTAATATCCATTCGAAGTAATTACAAACCTGCAAATATACAAAATAAAGAGTTTTGGTGGGCATATTTATAATTTATGTGAAGCCCTATTTACACCAGAAACTCATATACACAAGGTACAAAAGATATCTTCAATCTTACAATTGCCATGCAAAGTACTGACTAATGACTAAGTATGCAAAGATATTTGGCTTTGCATTCTATCCAATAAAGCCCCTGTGGGCAGGTCTAATATTTGTTCCACCTAGACTTTCTCCGCTTTCCTGCAGTATTAACCATCAAACGGTCCCAAACAGTTAACAGTGTACATTCTATTTTTATCATCAGAGTCTTTCATTATCTTTACCACACTAAATTTTTTGATCATCACAAAATCCATTTTCGATACGAATAGGTGTATCAGATGTTTGCTCCAGTTCAGAACAGTTCTATACAGCGGACAAAGAGAAGACCAGAAAGGCTAGAAAGAACAAAAAAAAAAGTGCATTGAAGTCCAAAGAGACGAGACTCGCAAAACATTTTGTATTGAAGATATAGTCAGGGAGTTGAACAAAACCAAAGCTGGATGTGGGTGTATATATATACTACAAGTCAAACTAGACTAGCAAAAGAGGAAGTGGAAGTAGTAGACATCTTTGTGATTCTCAACTAACTGAGTTTGTTAGCTAGAATATCAGCCTGGTTCATTTCTAATTTAGGGTGCTCCATTTATTCTGATAAATACAATTCGCTGCTATGTTAATTATGCCATGCTAGTTGGGTGATATGTATATTTCCATTTATGGATCAGTTGGAATCCTCCAACGGAAAAAAAAATCAGTCTGTGATTTTATGATAGTATATTGGCACGCGGCCACTCATTCACAATCCTATGAAGGCGATGGATGCTCCAGTCCTAAAAGCTATTTGAGGAAATACTGCAACCTATAATGAAATTCTATTTATCCAAATAAATTATTTATCTATAGAGTACTAGCACATCATAAATTTCTTGCCTGCCGAATCCAAGCCTTCAGCGATGAGAAAATTTCCCCTAATGCAAGTGGCATCATTTCTTGCAGTATAAATTGTCATATAGATCTTAGATGGAAAAAAAATGAAACATAGAGAAAATAAAGTAATCTCAAGCTTCTAACAAGATCTTACTGCTGAATGCTCCCTTGGCCTTCCATGCATGAGGATAATTTTTATCTCCTTCACTTCTCCATTTCTTTTTCGATCCCTCTGATCATGTCTGTAACATTACACAAAAAGACAAAACTGGAATGATGCTTTAAGTACAGTTTTAATAATCTGACAAAATTGCAAAGAGGTTAATGAATAATGCTAGATATTAAATTAGGTCATAAATATATTTTAGTTGTATCAAACTGTAATAATATAAGCAAGTTCTCTCTGCAACCTGTGTATAAATTGGAACACAAACATGCAAGGGATCAATTCAAGATTAGATAACTGATCACTCTAACCTACATTCATCCTTCAGCCTGAAATATTTGCTGCACGAATAATTAATATTAATCATAATCATCACCAAACGACCATCAAACAAAATTTCCCATCACTAGTCCTCTATTTGAACAAATGCAATTGGCTAACAGAGCAGCTGCAGCAAACAAGCTATAATAGTTTATGCAAAATCTAAAGTTTTCAGCAGTACAAGGGCCACATGTAAGAAATAACAAAATTCAATTACATGGTGTCAAACATACATCATAAAAAAAAGCCTGAAGCAGATATCTCATCAGACACCTCACATAGAAATTTTCTTAATGTAGTCGAGGGATATTTGGAATTAGCAGTTTAGCCATCACTCTAGATTCTTCAGAAACTCGGAACAGTTGAAAGTTACAAAGCCAGAAATTGGTCATTCAACTGAAGGTGAAAAATGTTGTCTCGGTGACATTCTGCTCTCATGTTCACAAATTGTTGTTTCCTTAAGATGCCTGCTAAAAAAAAAATCAAACCAGTTATATTTCAGCCGAACATTAACGCATGAAAATATAAATAAAAACCATAAGCCAGAAAATTCAGCAGACAAGCAAGTCATACGATGCAAAGACATCAGCCAGAAGCCAGCTCCCATTAATATTCTATTAAAATTTGAATAATTCGTTTTTTGAGGAAGAGATTACAACTAAATACACCAGTTATTCCCCTTTGAAACTTCTATCCACGTTCAGTGTTTGGTCTGAGAGCAAGCAGTTTGATCGGATCACACTAAATTATGCAGATTTGATTTTTTTTTAACATATATTATCATGCATTAAAATATACAAAATCAAATAAAAAAATGTACCAAGCAAAAGAGTAACGAATTGTGCAACTGAGCAGCGAACAACCAATAACTAGTGAAATACTTAAAAATTTAATCCATGCATAAAAAAACAGTAGTGGCCATCCAAATCAAAGTCGTTAAACTTAAAAGTTTGTAAACTAAACAGAAATTCATACTTTAAATAATATAACAACTTTCTATCTAATCTGCCTCGCAGGGAACTTTATCATCGATCTAAATCTTCTGCGGAGGCAGCCTCAAAGTTACCAAGATCATTATTGTCCTGCTCGTCTGAATCATCTCCATTAGGCTCATCCTCAATCACTGCATCAAACATTGTGCTAGAAGAGCCATCATATTCTATCCTTAATCTTGCAGCATGACACTACAGCGTCATGTTCCTCCT